AGGCAGATTTACACTCAGGTCCTCCTGAATCCAGGGTTGGTGCCCTACCCACTGTGCCACCTAGCTGCCCCTAGGCTCTTTCTTTGACCACAGCTTTCAGGTAGTCCAATAATTCTTAAATTATCTCTCTATTTTACAGGTCAGTTATTTTTCCAATGAGATATTTCACATTTTCTTCTATTTAAATTTTTTTAAAAAAATTTGTTTTTATTGCTTCTGATGGAGTCTTTAGTTTCCATTTGATCAATTCTAATTTTTGAGGCATTATTTTCTTCTGTGAGCTTTTGTATCTCTTTTTTTCCATTTGATCAATTCTGTTTTTCTTTTAAGATGTTATTTTCTTCAGTATTTATTTTTGGTGCCTATTTAACAAGCTACTAGTTGTCTTTTCATAATTATCTTCCTTTGCTTTCATTTTTAAATGTAATTTTTCTTATGCCACTCCTATTTGATTTTGAAAAGAGTTTTTAGTTCTTCTAGGCATTTTTGTTAAGCTTGTGTCCAATTCACATTTCTTTTTCTTTGAGGCTTTGCTTGTAGCTGTTTTGACTTCATTGTTTTCTTCTGAGTTTATGTTTTGATCTTCCTCATCACCATAATAGTGTTTCATGGTCAGGCTCTTTTTTTGGGGGTTGTTTTTGTTAGTTTTCCCACCCTATTTCTTGATTTGGAGCTTTATGTTAATGTTGAGCTCTGTTCCCACAATGGCAGGGTGCATTGTTGTTTTCAGACCTAATTCTTGGGGTCTGGAAGTTTTCAGTGCTACCAAGCAGTATGATCTGGGGAGAGGTGTGATCTCTGCTCTCTTGGTCTGAAATCTGGTGCTTATCTAGGAAGGGTCCCAGATCCCTTGGAATTGCAATATGTACTTCTCCTCAGGGCCCCTTCTCCCTTAGGCCTGGAGAAGATACTATTCCTCAGGGTCCCTGATATCTTGGGGCCAGAAGTGATACTGTCCCTTAGGGCTCCCACTCCCTCTTGAATGAAAGTGCTCCTTTCCATCTATAGACTATGGCCCAGAAGTAGGTATAGGTAATGGGGCTGCCAAACAGTGTCTAACCCTGAATCCAGTGCTAGCACAGGGGTACCTTGTAATCTCTTTCTGACCAGTTGCCAGGACCTCTTAGAGCCTCTTGCTGCTGCTACTTCTGTCCCCATCACCTAGTCCCACCACTCATATTTCATTCATGTGAGCTCTAGGCCAGCCTCCTCCCCCCATGTGAGAGGCCTCTCTTTCTGACTTCCTATGTTGTCTTGGGTTGGTAGAATATCTCTGATGCTTTGTTGGCTCTGCCACTCCAGAATTCAACTTGAGGTATTATTTTAAAGTTGTTTGGAGTTTCAAGTTGAATGTTGGGAGAGCTCAGGTTTCTCTACTGTGCTATCTTGGATCTGTCTTCAGAAGTCAACAAATATTTTATTTGATCCTCACAACAACTCTGTGAATGGGTGCTCTTATCCCCATTTTTCAGTTGAGAAAATTTAAGCAGACAGAGATTAAATGATTTGCTCTGGGTCACATAGCTAATAAGTATTTAAGGCCAGATTTGATCTCAAGTTTTCCTGACTGCTGGCCTCATACCTTTTTTAATATGACATCTAGTTGCCTCACACTGGCCTCTTTAGAAACACATCCTCACTAATTAGTGTTCCAATCTCTCTTTGAGTTGCTTTTTAACCTTCTTGTGCTCCCTCTCAAGTTCCTTGGTGATAAAAATCAACCCACCTTCCAAATACCTTGTTGAAGTGGTCACAAGATAGACTTGAGACTGTCTGGGGAATTACCAGTTACCATGCTTTCTCCTCCTCTTCTTTTCCTTTTTGGCCTTGATCTCAGAGATAATCACTATATTGTCCAATGAGACCTCTGAGTCACAGACTGTACGTTCTGCTGGCAGTCCTTTGATCCCTGCTCCTGTCAGTATCGTCCCATTTTGGTAATACAGTTTGGGAAAAGTCTGTGGTTAATACTGTTTATAGAGATAAAATAAATATTTAAAACAAAGAAACAAAATTTCCCAGAAGGAAGGCATTAGGCTTACATGAAGAGACTGAGGTAGGCAAGGAGATACTCTGTTAAAATATATAGTGTGGGGAGGTTTCAGTAATGTTGTTGTCATCATTATGCTTTTTTTCTGCCCAGTCAACCCAATTCACCTCACAGTGTGAGTCCTGACTCCTTTCTGGCATCACCAATCTCTGCCTGTGCTTCCATTTTTCTGACTCCATCTGATTTCTCATAGCCTCCCTTTCTTAAGCTCCACATATCTTCTATCTGTCTCTTTAGGAGCTTGAATCTTCTTTGAGTCTTTTTACCCTGGATTCATTGAACTGACTTTTTTTTCACTTCTTTTTTTTTTAGTTAATTTATTTTGAATTATCAACAGTCACTTCCATAAGCTTTCGAGTATTAAATTTTTCTCCCCCTTCCTCCCCACCTCCTTCCCCAAGACACTGTGCAATCTGATATAGTCTATACATATACTTTCCTATTAAACATATTTTCACATTAGTGATGTTGTAAGAATTAGAACTAATAGAAGGAACCACCAGAAAGAGGAAACCAAATACAACAGAAGAAAAAAAATAGCAAGTAGTATGCTTCGATCTGCATTCAAACTCCATAGTTCTTTCTTTGTATGTGAATAGCATTTTCCATCATGAGGCCTTTGCAGATGTCTTAGATCCTTGCATTTCTGAGAAAGATTAAGTCTATCAATATTAGTCATTGCACAATGTGGCTGTTACCATGTACAACATTCTCCTGGTTCTGCTCATTTCATTCAGCATCAGACCATACAAGTCTTTCCAGGTTTTTCTGAAGTCTGCCTGTTCATAATTTTTTATAGCACAATAGTATTCCATCACATTCATATACCATAATGTGTTCAACCATTCCTCAATTGATGGGCATCCTCTCAATGTCCAATTCTTTGCCACTACAAAAAGAGCTGCTATAAATATTTTTGTACATGTGGGTCTCTTTGGGATATAGCCCTAGAAGTGCTATTGCTGGGTCAAAGGGCATAGTTCCAAATTGCTCTCCATAATGGTTGGATCATTTCACAACTCCACCAACAATGCATTAGTGTTCCAATTTTCCTATATCTTCTCTAACATTTATCATTTTCCTGCACTGAACTTACTTTCAAAGGTCACTTGGAGATATAGCTTATCATTTTTCATCCCATGGGGTTATTTTCTTTCTGATTCATTCAATAAGGGATCATCTGGAGTGTCTAGATTTTAAAAAAGTACTTTAATTGATATCATTTCTTCTTGCATCACCCCTATTTCCCAAGTATCCCTTCCCCTTTCCATCCCAGAGAGCCTTCCCTTATGATTAAAAACAAAGGAAAACAAAGATGGGAAATTTCCACAAAACTAACAAAAAGTCTTGTGTGATATGCAGGATTCCACTTCTGCAAAGAAGTTGGGGAAGGGAGTTGTGCTCTTATCTCTCTTTTTAGGGCCAAGCTTAGTAATTACACTTTCATGGAATTACATTTTGATTGTTTGTTGTTGTTCTTTACATTTGCATTGTTGTAATCATTGTGTATGCCATTTTCTTAATTTTAATTATCGCACTTTGCCTCAGTTTTCTTTATCACATTCATCATTTCTTACAACACAGGAATATTCCATTATATTCATGTATCACAATTTCCTTAGGCATTCCTCAATCAATGGGCATCAAAAAATTTTGTTGTGTATGGAGCCCCTTTTTTTTTTATTAAGCCATTGACCTCCTTGGAACACATACCTACCAATGGGATATATCTGTCAGTCAGTCAACAGTTTAACAAGCATTTATTAAGTGCCTATGATGTGCTAGGCACTGTGCTCAGAGCTGGAGATAAAAAGAAAGGCAAAAGACAGTGACTATTCTCAAGAAGTTCACAGACTAATGCAGGAACTCCAAGTTAAAGTGTGTGGACATTTTCATCATTTTTTTTTTGCATAATTCCAAATTAGTTTCCAGAGTAACTACTTCCAAGAAACAATGCCCATTTGAATATTTGCTCATACAGAAAGATGAATGTATCTTCCCACAATCTCACAATACTGACTGTTTTTGTTAATCATTATATGGCTATATGGTTGTAGTTAGTTTTTTCACAGATCTTAAACTGTAATTAGGTCTAAGAAAGACAAACTTCCTAACACTAGGATTTCAACAGTTAAAGTTAGGTGGGGGAAGGTGGAGAGGGGAAGATATAAGGTGATGGCTTTAGGGAGAGATTGAATATGAGAGAGAGATGGCTGGACAGAGACACAAATATAGACACAATGGGATACCAAGACACAGAGAGATGTAATGAAACAGACAAGTAGAGACAGAAAATTCAATGGGGTAAACTCACAAGCTAGACAGGAGGAGAAAGTATGAAGGTCACAAGTAGAAGGGTTAGCTCACCACCAAATCCTCTGAGACTAGAGCAAAGTAGAAGGCAATAAAGATATGGAGTTCTCTGAATTAATTCTTTTCATTGTACACCACCATAATTTCTGGGGAACAGTCACAAACAAATCAAGACAACTAGGAAATGCAAATGATAAATGGGGTAATTAAAAAGAAAGGAAAAGCATGTAAGAACCAGAGATTAAAAAGGAACTGGAAATTGTGAGGATGGCTATTTCCAATTCCTTTTAAACCTCTGGTTCTTATATGCTTTTTCTTTCTTTTTAATTATCCCATTTATCATCTGAATTCCATAGTTGGTTTGTTTTGTTTGTGACTGTTCCCCAAATCTATTCTCCCTCTTAAACCTTCTTTTTGTCACTCCTATGCCCTTTTTAATATACTTCTTCACTAAACTCTCTCTCTCTCTCTCTCTCTCTCTCTCTCTCTCTCTCTCTCTCTCTCTCTCTCTCTCTCTCTCTCTCTCAGATTCCACTTCTACTTACTGTCATCTTACTATCTTCTTGTAGGTTGACCTCTTGGCCCTCTCTTAACCTATTGTATTTCATCATTGTATTTGAAGTTTTATTCTACTTACTCATCTCTTTAGCCTTAGACTCCATTTTGGGACTTTGTGCCTCAGCGGGGTGCTTCTCTCTCTCACACTTTTGAATGGGGTGTTCGGGCCCTGGTCTTGTCCTCTTTGCAGTTCTGGATGGCTCTTTCACGACTGTGCTACAGTTCTGGATGGGGTGGCTGCTTGCCAGTGCCACACCTCCTTCCTGACCTTTCATGAAAACCTGTTGTGGGACAGGAGCTGGGTCTGGAGCTGGTCCTAAACTTTACTCTCTGCCTCAATCTCTAGTTTCTGTCTTTGTCTCCTGGGGTTCCAATGAAGGCACTAGCTTAAAGTGCTATTTAATGCTATGCAGGTATTATTTGAGATGAAGAGAATGAGATAAAAGCAAAATCATATAAAACAACCTCAATTTTCTCAGTAGAAGGGGTGGTCTTTAGCTGAAGGAGATAGGAAGGAAGAGATATGGGAAACTTGAGGAAGGAAGAAATATTTAGAATAGCTTTTGTGCAAAGTAAGATGGGGAACCAATTAGGGAACAATTTCCTGACTGTCCTGGTGCAGCGAGGGCCCTGTTGAGGTTAGATAACATAAATTTGTAATGTACCCTGTCAGCACAGTTGTGGGATTTCTTCCACTGGGTTCAGTGACTCATGAATAGGCGTGAAGAAAGTAGATTTTGGAAGTAAATTGTGGCTGAGTTTTGAAAAGCAAGAGATGAGTGGCAACAGGACTGGGCAGAAGGCAAGCAAGATTATTCATTCATTTAGGACTTATCAAGCATGCCAGACACAGTGCTAATGTTGGGAATGTAAAGACATGAACCAGAAAGTCCCAGGCCTAAAAGAGCTTATATAATTATTGAAAGCACCAACACATATACAGAAAGCTCAATGTAAAACCCATGCAAAGTAGATACAAAGTCACTTGAGAGGTAGGGATGGACAGCATTATGACCCTATGGTATCTGCAGCCCTGAGCAAGAAATGCCTTCTGATTATTGGTGGGAGTGGAATCAGAGGACACAGAGAAGTTTTTTCAGTTGGTGCTTATTCTAGAACATTTGGGGGGCTCAGTCATCATTGTATAGAATTATATTGTCTTCTGAAGTCCTTTGTTTGAGAGGCAGTTGTGGTAGAGTCAAAAGGAAGTGGAAATATCAGAGTCTAGAGACCTGAGTGTGAATACCAATTTGGAAGCTTCCAAGCTGTGTCACCCTGGGCAACTCAACTAATCTCTCTCAACCTCCATTTCCTCATCTGTCATATGGAGATAACACAGTCTGCACAGCTTACTTTGCATGGTTGCCATGACAAAGGGACTTTACAAATCTTAAAATGCTGGAGAAATTCTATGCTATCCCTGTATAGCTGTAAGAGCAGCCTTCAGGCCCATGGCTGAAGATTAGTAATTGCTTTGTGATCCACTGATACATTTCCTGTGACCTTCTGCTCAAAAACTTCATTACAAATATTCATCCTTCCTAGGCAATCCTGCTGCTAAATTTGAGAACAGGGCAGAAAGATTGATGTGTGGCATTAATTAGATATAAAGTAGATGGGCTTTTTTCCTTAAACTCAGCTCATGTCACTTTGTATATGAGGTTTTTCCTGACCCTTCCATCCCCTCATTACTAGTGCCCTCCTCCAAAATTACACTGCATACATTTATATAAGGATATTATGCATTGTATATATGACACGTCTTTCTCAATAGGATGTAAGCTACTTGAGGGCAGCAATTATATCATTTTTATCTTTGTTTCCCCAGTGCCTAGCAGTTAGGGGGATGGGGAAATGGGTCTGAGATTTCAATGGTATAAAGAACTTCCTAAACCAATCCAGTGCCAGGATTGGCACTTTCTCTGCAAATTATGCTCTTAACAGAGCTGCCTAGAGCATTGAGAGGTTAAATGAGTTGATTAGAGTCACACTGCTAGCTTGTGTCAGAAGCAGGACTTGATCTTGGGGCTTCCTAACATTTTATCCCCTATGCTATTCTCTAAATTGATTAATTGGTTGGTGGATTGGTTCCTTGGGTAGCTGTATACAAATCAGACACTCACTCAGAAGACCAGGGAAATCTCTATGGTGTCAGAACAGTGGACTGAAGGAACATTGGAGAATGTTTTAAGGACCAATAGGGTTTGATATCGATCTGTAACTAGGGCAGGGAGATTGGGGTTTTGCCTCAGAGTAGTGAAGTTTAGAAGACATTGAAAGTATTCACAGTCCTTCAGTAATTTAGAAACCATTGGATTGAATTTTAATAATGAACAAGATTAGTTAAAATAAGAAGCTACCAGATTGCTCAGATAGCCCCTCCTATTCCTGCATTCCCTCACAATGACTGAGCCTAAGGTGAGATCCTCCAAGTGTACCTCTCTTCCAACTAAATTGAAGGATCATTTTGTGTCCCTTGTTCTAGGTGGAGAAATGACTTGTTATGGCCCTGTAAGTTTGTAGCTGGATTTTCCCATTAAAAATAAGTGAATCTGCAGTGTTGGTCTTAACCACTGTTTATGGTTCCTGAGATGAACAATATCATTAATGAAACTGATGAATCTGATAGCACATACCTGAGGATATGATCAGAAGCTTTATCTTGTTATTCATCACAGCAACTGAGTAAGGTCTTGAAGAAACTGTTGCTTTCTCTCACCCACTATTATATAAGTCATGAGGACAGCCCAAGCTTGAGTGACATATATGTATATATATATGTATGTGTTTATATACGTGTGTATATACATACATACACACATGCATATTATATATATGTATATATACATGCACCTATACATATATACATATACATGCAGGGGGGACTAGCACCTCTGGTGTGAGGGCTTGCTGAGCCCTTTTCAGGACTACTTATCCACCTTTGGCATCCACTTGTCACCCACCTCTCACCTGTGGCTCCAGGAAGCTATAGCATGTCCAGTGGCCACACCCTAGTAAAACCATCTTGGTAGAGGGGCTAAACCAGGTTGAGGGTAACCAACAGGTCTCAAACCCATTGGTGAGTTAGGGAGATGTCTACCTCAAACTTGTGAAGACTTCCCCTGGCAGAATGGGCAGATGAAAACAATTTGTTCCAATGGTCATGAAGGCGGCTGAAACAGGTGCCATGGAGTGCTTAGAGCTTGATCAGACAATGAAGATGCCAAGACATCCACTGCATTCTGGGACTTCACCAATTGTCTTGACTTTTATCTTCCCATTGAACTTTGATCACTCTGGAAGAGAGAACGAGGCTGATGTGCAACTCTGCCTCACTTAAATCCAATTTACCTGAAGGTCAAGACATCACCCCAGGATGTCATTGGTCCTCTTTGAAAAGTGCAAGATGAATAGCAGCAGCAGCAGCAGCAGCAGCAACAACAACAGCAACAACACATGAGTAATTCTTCCTCTGTACCCAATGACTCTATCATTGCATAATTGATCTTTAAATTTAGTTATTCTTTCTGGTTGCTTTGGACTGGTGGGTTCTGTTCCTAATTCTTCCTTGCTCTAGGGAACTTCATAGTAGTAATGATGGCACCAAATACTCTTTTCTTTTTTCAAGATCTTGCTCAGTTGCTGTGATGAATAACAAGATACAGCTTCTGATTATATCCTCGGCTGTGTGCAATCAGTTTCATCAGTTTCATTAATGAGATTGCTCATCTCGGGAACCACAAACAGTGATAAGACTAACATTGCAGATTCACTTAGTTTTAATGGGAAAATTATGTTTCTGCTTCACATGTCAAACTGTGAATAATGTTGTAGAATACAAATTTGTACTGGATCTTTTGCTCCTATTTCTCAAACCACTTGGGCTTCTTTTAAATAGCCAATGAGCTTCTATTAAGTATTTAAAGACACCAGTGGGCACACAAATATAAAAGTGAAGCAGCTCCTCCTCTCAAAGAGATTATATTTTACTGGGAGGTAGATGGGATACAACATATTGACAAATAAAGCAATTACAGGAAATTTGCCAAATAAATACAAAGTGACTTTTTTTTGGGAAGGGGGCAGAAAAGACATTTTGAAAGGTTCTGAACCTATTCATTCTAAGAGATAGATATGACTAGAGAGGGTATTAGAAATAGGCTACACAAAGACACAGAGGTCAATCTAGAAGGACCTCAAAGGGAGGTGATGTGATCTGGCAAAGGTCACATAGATCTTTTGCTCTGTACTAGAGGCAGGATTTAAACTAAAGTCCTCTAACACCAAGGCCAGGGAACTGTCCACCGTACCACTCTGTCTTCTCAATGTTATTGCAGTTAAGTTGAGTTTGGCTGCCTTTTCATATTATTTTCAGAGAAATGGATCAAGCCAGGGCAACAGATGATTCCCTGGAACAGAGAAAAGATACATTTAGGCAGGGGCCAAACTTAGGCACTGAATTGATTCAGGCTGGTGTCTAACTTGCGCTTCACTAATCTCAGAGAAGACCGAGGTGAGGATGTTTGGGGCCGTTGATAATCAAAGAGTAGAGGACAGTGTCAGGCACCAGGACTAGTTAACCCTTGGTACAGGTACAGACTGCGGGTCTGGGTCTGTTGGTCAGAGTACAGAGGGCATTTTTGCTTTTGACAGGATATCACTTGCTTGTTTTACCAGGTGATAAAACTGGAGGGAATTATTTGGATAACTTTAACAAAGAGATACTTCTGAAAAGATTTGTCAAGAACCAAAGTATAAATATTCCCCTGAACTAGGGCACACTTTCACCTATCACAGTGATTCCTTGAGGGAGTCAGTTCATACTTCATGTGGCAGTTACAAAACATTCCTTGCACCAAGTTCACTTCTAGGTATGGAATAGCCAATGGACGGGTCCCTCCTTTGCTTGCAGGACAGAATGGCTCAGGTGCAGGTTAACCCTCTACTGTATTGGATCATGCAAGTTTCTCCTCAAGGCTGTATTCTAAACTGGGCTTACCTATGGCAGTGACCAGCACCAGTTACTTCAGGGAACTCAGAAGGTTCTGCTGACATTTCAAGGCTCACAAGGTCATAGCTTGTTCTGTTCTATCTCTAGATACTCATTGATTCAAGATCAGGAAAAAATGAAACCCAACAGAAATAGAAGAAATCACAGTACCATGCATTCATGTACCTGGCAAGCTGATCAGAGAGA